TTCCTCTCAGAGTCTTCCATTGCCTTGGTCATGTTGTGCTGTCTTTCCATATTGTGTATTGCCTTTCCCTTCACCAGTATTAACACGTGTCCTCTGTCTAACTAGTAATTTTCTCTCCCTCCCCCTCCCATCCTTGGTAACCATCAAAGAATTTTTTTTTTTTCTGTGTGTAAACCTTTTCTTGTTTGTTTGTTTTTTTATAATAGTGGTGTCATACAGTATTTGTCCTTTTGTGATTGACTTAGTTCACTCAGCATAATATCCTTCAAATTCATCTGTGTTGTGAGATGTTTCACGGAGGCGTCGTTATTCTTTATCTTTGAGTAGTATTACATTGTGTGTATGTACCAGTTTGTTTATCCATTCATCCATTGATGGGTATTTAGCTTGTTTCCATCTTTTTGCTATTGTGAATAATGCAGCAATGAACATGAGTGTACATATGTGTATTTGTGTCACAGCTCTTATTTCTTTAGGGTATATACCTAGGAGTGAGATTGCTGGATCACATGGTATTTCTATTTCTAGCTTTTTAAGAAAGTGCCATATGGTTTTCCATAGTGGTTGTACCATTTTACATCCACCTCCCCCCAGCAGTGTATAAGAGTTCCAGTTTCCCCACAACCTCACCATTTGTTATTTTCTGTTTTTTTGATTAGTGCCATTATTGTCAGGGTGAGATGGTATCTCATTGTAGTTTTGATTTTCACCACTCTAATGGTAATGGCTAAGGATCACAAACATTTCTTAATGGTGTTTGTTGACCACGTGAATGTCTTCTTTGGTGAAGGGTCTGTTCATGTCCTTTGCCCATTTCTTAATGGGATTGTTTGTCTTTTTGTTGAGGTGTTGAAGTTTTCTGTAAATTTCAGAGATTAAACCCTTGTTGGATGTGTCATAGCCAAAATTTTTTCCCCAGTCTGTAGATTCTCTTTTTATTCTTTTGGAGAAATCTTTTGATGAGCATAAGTGTTTTTAATTTTCAGGAGGTCTCATTTTTTTAGTTCATCTTCTGCTGTATACATTTTTAGTTAAGTTTAGTATTCTATTTATGCCGTCTGTTAGGGCCTCTAGTGTTGTCACTGTTTTTTCTTCCATGATCTTTAAAGTTTAAAGTTTGTTGTTTTAGGTTTTTTATTTAGATCTTTTATCCATTTTGAGTTAATTTTTGTGTATGGTGTGAGGTATGGGTCCTGTTTCATTTTTCTACAGATAGATGTACAGTTTTGCCAGTACCAATTGTTAAAAAGACTGTCTCTCTTCCATTTAATTGGCTTTGACGCTTTGTTGAAGATCAGCTGTCCATAGGTGGATGGACTTACATCTGGGTTCACAATTCTGTTCCATTGGTCTATGTGTCTATCGTACCAGTAGCAGGCTGTTTTGACTACCATGGTGATATAGTACGTTCTGAGATCAGGTAATGTGAGGCCTACTGCTTTGTTCTTTTTCAGTAATGCTTTACTTATCCAAGGCCTCTATCTTTTCCTTCTAAAGTTGGTAATTAGTTTTTCTGTCTTGTTAAATAATGCAGTTGGAATTTGTATCAGGATTACGTTGTATCTATAGATTGCTTTTGGTAGTATTGACCTTCTGACAATGTTAAGTCTTCCGATCCATGAGCATGGTATGTTTTTGCATTTATGTAGGTCTCTTTTGGTTTCTTGCAGTAGTGATTTGTAGTTTTCTGTGGGAACTTCTATGTTTAGGATCATCATCTACAAATAGGGATTGTTTTGCTCCTTATCAATTTGAATGCTCTTTATTTCCTTACCTTGCCTTATTGCTCTAGCTAGAGCTTTCAGTACAATGTTGAATAAGAGTGGTGATAAAGGGCATCCTTGTCCGGTTCCTGTTCTCAAAGAGAATGCTTTCGATCTCTCCCCTTTCAGGAGAATGTTGGCTGTTGGTTTTGTATAAATGCCCTTTATTGTGTTGGGGAATTTCCATTCTAATCCTATTTTGCTGAGAGTTTTTTTTTTTTAATCAGGAATGAGTGTTAAACTTTATCAAATGCCTTTTCTGCATTGATTGAGATGACCATGTAATTTTTTTGTTTTATTTATATGGTGGATTATGTTGATTTTCTAGTATTGAACCATCCTTGTATGCCTGATATGAATCCCACTTGATCATGACATATTATTTTTTTTTAATATGCTATTGAATTTTATTGGCTAGAATTTTGTTGAGAAATTTTACATCTAAATTCATAAGGGATATTAATCTGTAACATTCTTTTTTTTTTTTTTTTTTTGTGGTGTCTTTGCGTGGCTCTGGTATCAGGGTTATGTTGGCTTCATAGGATTAGTGCGGAAGTGTTTTTTCCTTTTCTGTGCTCTGAAATAGTTTGAGTAGTAGTGGTGTGATCTCTTCTCTGAATGTTTGATAAGATTTCTCCAGTGAAGTCGTCCGGGCCAGAGCTGTTTTTTTTTCAGTGAGAGTTGTTCTTTTAATTACTTCTTGAATCTCTTCTTGTGTTATGGGTCTGCTCAGTTTTCTACCTCAATTTGTGTTAGTTTAGGTAGGTAGTGTGTTTCTAGAAATTTGTTCATTTCCTGTAAGTTTTCACATTTGTTGGAGTATAGTTTTTCATAGTACTCTGTTTTGATCCTTTTTATTTCAGTTGGTTCTGTTGTAATGCCACCCATTTCATTTCTTATTTGGGTTATTTGCTTCATCTCTTCTTTTGTCAGTTTGGCCAGTAGTTTGTCAATTTTATTGATGCTTTCAAAGAACCAACTTCTGGTCTTGTTGATTCAATTGTTTTTCTGTTCTCTTTTTCATTTATTTGTGCTCTAATCTTTATTATATCCTTTCTTCTGGTGACTGTGGGCTTCTTTTGTTGCTGTCTTTGTTCAAGTTGTAGGGTTAATGTTTTGGTTTTGGCCCTTCTTTTTTCGTGTGTGCATTTATTGCTATAAATTCACCTCTTAGCACTGGTTTTGCTATGTCCCAGAGGTTTTGGTATGTTGTATTTTCTTGTTTGATTCTAGGAATTTTTAAATTTCATCTTTGATTTCTTCTGTTGTCCAGTGGTTTTTAAGCATAGTGTTACTTAGTTTCCAGGTATTTGATTTTTTTCCCTTGCTTTTCCTGTTATTGATTTCTACTTTTATATCATTGTTGTCAGAGAAAATGGTTTGTATTATTTTGATGTTTTGTATTTTATTGAGGCTTGCATTGTGGCCTAAAATGTGGTCTATTCTGGAGAATGATCCATGTGCATTGGAAAGGAATGCACGGCCCTGCTGTTGGGTGTTGTGATGGTTAAGATTGTGTAGAGAACCCAGCCTAAGACTGGTGTAGTGTTCTGTATATGTCTGTGAGGTTGAGCTGGTTGACTGTGGCATTTAAATCTTCTGTATTTTTGTTTTCTTTCTAGTTGTTCTGTCCTTCACCACAAGTGGTGTGCTGAAGTTTCCTACTATTATCGTGGAACTGTTTGTTTCTCTTTTCCATTGTGCAGAGTTTGTTTTATGTATTTTGGAGCCCCGTCGTTGTGTGTGTATATATTTATTATGGTTATATGCTCTAGGTGGATTGACCCTGTAATTATTGTATGATATCTTTTCTTTCATGGTGGATTTTACCTGAAAGTCTGTTTTATCAGAGATAATATTGCCACTCCTGTTCTTTTTTGTTATTGTTTGCTTGATATATTTTTTCTATCCTTTGAGTTTTAGTTTATGTCTTTGTGTCTAAGGTGTATCTCTTGTAGGTAGCATATTGAGGGGTCGTGATTTTTTTTTTTTTAAACAATTCCATCACTGTTTACTGGTTATTTAAGCCATTTACATTCAGTGTGATTATCAATAGATATGAGTTTACTGCTGTCATTTTATTGTGCTTTTTTTGTCATGTATTTTTATATCTTTTTTTTGCATTTCCTTATTTCTGGCTCATCTTGTATTTTCCCTACCCTGGCCCTGGAATCAACTACTTCCTTGAGGAGTTCAAGTTTCTTTTATTGGAGAATGGTGTTTAGAGACCAAGATTTGGGCAGTAACTGTGCTTAACTGGAATATTATTGCTTATAGGCCCTCTCAGTGGACAGAGCTAGGAAATATCTGTATATATAGTAATTGTCATTATTACAAATGAATAACATAATTGCACTGAAGGGAGTGGGGAGATTAATGTTTATTAAAGTGTTTATTTTAGGTATTTAGAAAATTAGCAGCCTTATTTAGTGCATAGATTGTAGTAATCTGTGTTCAACTAACAAGTATTCTTTGAAGCTCTTAAGATGGATAGTAATTGTGATATGTCTTCTGTTTTGTTAATTAGATTTTAAAAGTGGCATGGATTCAGTGTAAGCAAGTTGATGAATTTTATATTAGTAAAAGCTTGACTAACACCTGCAAACTGTGAGATGTTGGAAATAATGGGAGTTGATGACAGTGGGAGATTCCAGGGAGGAGAGTGACAGGGAAGGTAAAGGGCCTGCTAATAAGGTCGTGCTTGATACTGTATTTCAGCAACTAGTCTGTCATTGCCCGGTTTTAGAAATCAAGAGGATTGTTTGCTTATTGACAAGCTAATATTTGACAGGGTTTGTTTCTGTATTAGAAAACAAGGAGAGCTCAATTAAGAAACAGCTAACCATATTTTAGTTGATTACTTTGTATGATATTTTTGAGGTTCCCAAACTGATAACTTTGTTATTTTTTACACTTGGATGATGTGTCTTTATGTTCCTAAATAACAAATGTAATTTTAACTTAATTGGTTTAAATTAAGTCTACATTTTGACAGTTGTATCTGTGCTCATTCTCACATTAATTTACCTTGGTCAATTAAGATAGAGCAGTATATAGTATATGCTATATACTGGATCCGTTTTAAGGAGCCCGGGTGGCACAATGGTTAAGTGCTCGGCTGCTAACCGGAACGTCTGTGGTTCAAACCCACCAGTGGCCCCACGGGAAAAAAGACCTGAAGATCTGCTCCTGTAAAGATTTAAAGCCTAAGAACCCTATGGGGCAGTTCTACTCCATCATGTAGGGTCTCTCTATGAGTCAGAGTGGACTCAACGGCACACAACACAACATTATCCCTTTTAGAGCATAATATATGCTCCTGGAAAGGGAGTGTTGAGAAAGTGCTGTAGGATTATTAGAATATTCCAACATCCATCTTCGGCAGTAGCTCTGCCCTTTTCTTTAACTCCTCTGATGTCATGGCATGCCTCTAGCTTTGGCCTTAACTTATTTTGCCCGCAGTCATACAGTTTCTATATATCTTTGTTATAGTAATATTTATTACATTCTTCCAAATGAATAAAAGGATTTCTACCAATCTCTAACAGACTACTGATCTTGATCCTCTGTTTCCCAGACCATTTAAGAATTTAGAATTGTAGTAATAGCTGCTTTTTAAGATCTGAAGAAATATTTTTTTGTTTGTTTACAGCAACTTAATCATTATTAACTCTTGGCCATGGAGTTGATTCCAACTCATAGCGACCCTATAGAACAGGGTAGAACTGCCCCTTAGAGTTTCCAAGGAGCAGGTGGTGGATTCGAACTGCTGACCTTTTGGTTAGCAGCCAAGCTCTAAACCAGTGTGCCACCAGGGCTCCCGATCATTATTACTTGCTATTATATTACCTAATAGAATATAAAACCCAAAACAAACCAAAAAAATAAATAAATAAAAGAAAAATGGAAGATGTTGTTGCTTGCTGTACTGTGGCCTGGCAGAGCACATTCAGATGATGATGTCATGCTATCAGGTGTCTATTAGCTGAGTGCTGATAACAGTACTCATAGCATAGAAGAAGAAATTCAAAGTAACTGTGCAGTGTAATGTATAGTTTTAAATATTTAAGGAAAATATTTCAAAGGTAAGTAGGGTTATAATGAATTAGCAGTGCTTGGCATAACATTAATCAGGGTAAGAAGATATCTAAATTTCAGTTAATTTTTTTCATATCCCTTTGAGGGTATTGGGACAAACCTAATGGAAGTGTTGCCTTCAAGGACTTTTATTGTGTTAGGTTTGGGCTCAGCTAGACTAGGCAGGATATTGGTGCCTGAATCTTGGTGAATGAAGGAAACTAGGAGAATAGAACCTGAGAAAGTAGGAAAAAACCAGCCCATAAATGAGAAGTGAGTAAGATTGTAAGTAGACATGGATTAGGATGAACTGTTTAGGATTGAGGACAGGAAAAAAGTGAGTGTCAGATACTTATTTTTGTATGTGGCACCAAGTGGTAGTGTGGTGGCCAAAAAGTGGCAATAAAGCTAATCCAAGACTATAGTGAAGAGAGAATTTAGAGCCAGGGAACCATTGTTTATCTAACATTCTTTCATTTTCCTCTGTCTTGGTTTGGAAAGGCCTGTCCCACTATAGGGTTGCTATGAGTCAGAATCGACTTGATGGCAGTGGATGTGGTTTTTGTTTTTGGTCCCACTTGGATCAGCATAGTTAGTAGGGAGAAGTTGGTTTTTACTTCTCAGGTAATGAGGACTACAAAATGTAGAAGGGATGCAAGTTCACAGGGATAATCATCTTTAGCTTTCTTTCTCTCTTTCTTTTTTCTTATCTCTGTATGTTCCCAGAAAGATTGGAAAGATGTGCTAGGCACCTGGTATTGCAATTTGGAATTGTTAAGAATTCTGAAGGGTCTGAGATTTTATACTACTTGCAAACTAACAAGTTAGCCTGCCGCAATAGTTCATGGATGCTGGCAGAAAACAAAAGACTCCTGGGCCAAAGACAAAGAACTTTATTACTCATGGCACAGCAAAGCAGCATGAGCTTTATGTTCACATTGGTTCTCCTTGCCCCTTAAATCCCACTCAGGTGTGAAGTGGCCCAGGTGGATGCCTGACTCTCGGTGGGTTTGTATCACAGCTGACTTAGGGAGCCCTAATCTTTTATAATGAATTGCAAGAAAATCTGCCTGACCTGTGCCCCAAAGAAAGGCATTATCTTTATTATACTGGACAGTAAATCAACCTGCTCTCTGCTCCAGAGGGAGACATCATGTCTGTTTTCTCAGACTGTTCCTTATAAATATCTTTGAAAAGACGAAGTCAGACAGTGCCTCTTTTTGGAAAACTGTAGAAATGTGAGAGACTGTGGAAAATTGTCTCCCAGCAGAAAGTGATTAGTGTGAAGTCCTTTGAGCTGTGAGTGTTCTTGGCTTTTGTTTCCAGCTCTAACTTTCCCTGTTTTTATTAGGAGTTAGCAAGCTGTTTGTAAAGGCCAGATATTAAATATTTTTAGGTTTTGTGAGCCATATGCTTTCTGTCACAACTACTCACCTCTGCTGTTGTAGTAGGAAAGCAGCCATAGACAATACGTAAATGGATGAACCTGGCGGTGTTCCAATAAAACTATTTATAAACATTGAAATTTGAATTTCATATCATTTTCATGTCACAAAATATTATTCTTTTGGTTTTTTTTCCAGCCATTTTAAAAATGTAAAAGGTATTCTTAACTCATGGGTCATACAAAAATAGGCAGCAGGCCAAATTTGGCCACTTTTTGCCCATCTCTATTTTATATGATGGATTTTGTTAATATAAATACATTGTTTTAATTCAGCAGTCTTGCCTATAAGAGGTAGTAATTAATATTTTTCTAGCAATTGATAATTCTAAAATCTTATAAATTATCCCAGTTTAACTTCACAGTAACCTATGAGATAAGCATTATTATCTCCATTATATGGTGAGGAAACTAATGCACAGAGAAGGTAGAATGACTTGCCCAAATTCATAAAACTAGTTAAGTGAGACAGTCAAAACTGTATTCTCGATTCTTCCCCCTGTAAGATGGTACTCTCTGCAGTTTAAACTTTAATAATAAGAGTGTCATGCCACTGTATCTCAGTACTTCCTTGTTGCCAGAATGCTTAGAGTTCAGTCTGTAAATAATGATAATGCAGACTTCTGATTTTCATTATTAACTGTATTCTACTATCCAGCCATTTTAATTTAATAATTGATGTCTTGACGAAAACTGGATATGGGAGGTGAAGGTCATTTGTTACAAAGCTTGGTAAAGATCTGGCAGTTGAACAGTTATAGTCATCTGTATACTATATATCTTCCACATTTCCACAGAAAATAGTAATATAATAAGAAAACTTTATCCCTAAATTATTTGTGTTCCTGCAGTATGTTTTACCCAAAGTTTTAGACTGGAGATATTGAGGACATTTTTTATAGTAATGTACTTTTTGGATTGCTTCCCTCTCAGGTGGTTGAAGATTATGCTGGAAGATGGCAGGTCCCTTTGCCACAGCTTCAGGTTCTTCAGACTGCACTTTGTTGTTTTACATCAGCCAGTGCATCATTCCCAGATGAATGTGAGCATGTACAGTATGTTTTGAGTAGTCTTGCTTTGTAAGTACTCATTCCTTTTTATAAAAGTATTACTATTATTGATGTATTTGAAAATTGGGTTTGGATGATTTCCTCAGAGGAAGAAGCTTTTCCTGAAGTCTTCCCTCAAAAGGAAGTTTCCTTTTCTTCACTTGAGTATTTAGGTTTAATTTTGAACATTTAACTACAATTTTACTTTTAGCTCTACAATTAAATGGAATTGTGATATACAGATTCTTATGGCCCTAGTACAAGCCCTTTACTTTCCTTTTTAATTCCCCAGATTGCCTTGTGAACTCTAATGGCAAGTTCCAGAGGACAGCAATCTAGGACATGATAGCAGAGGAAGGAACCTTAAATTAGGCCAGAAGGAGGTTAGGAAACTCCTAATTTAAAAAAATGCTTGTAAAGGACTTCCAGTTAAAGATCACAAACTGAGCCACCTGTGTGTGTCCTTTTTTTTCCCCTCCTATGTGCCCACTAAAGGAGCCCTGGTGGTGCAGTGGTTAAAGTGCTTGGCTGCTAACCAAAAGGTCAGCAGTTCAAACCCAGCAGCCGCTCCACAGGAAAGAGATGTGGCAGTCTGCATCTGTAAAGATTTACAGCCTAGGAAACGCTATGGGGCAGTTCTATCCTGCCCTGCAGGGTCACAATAAATCGGAATTGACTTGATGGCAACGGGTAGGAGCCCACTAACATTATAGTAAAGAAGGAAAAGAGAGAAATATAGTGAAAAGAAGATAGAAAGGCATATCAGTGGATGGCAGATTTCACCAATTTTCTGAGATATAGGAAGCAGATAGAGAAGTGGTAATTGAAATACAGCAGAGGAAGTCACAACTTCATCTGTTTTTTCCCCCTCAGTTGCAGTTCATACCACAGTGGTGGGTTATGAAATCCATAATTAGCATAAAATATACAATAGAAAATACCAGAGTGTGTCTTGTGGGATAAGTATTATTTTGTGAAACTTTTGTTGTTTTATATATTTATTTTTATATATGCGTATACTTGATTATTTTGTAAAACATTTTTCTTAAACCATGAATAGTGGTTAAAAAAAAGTTATCCTCTGCTATATAAGATTTAGGAGGAAGCCAGTCTGCCCATCCCCATCTTCTACCCAGAATCCTAGAGAGGTATAGAATTAGAATGTGCAAGGTATAAAATAGAGAGTATGGAAAGAAACAGAATGCAGATAAAGTTGTTAATTGAAATTTATTTCCATTCATGCTAATCACCAAGCCTTCAGGCCAGGGCAGGGTAAGAAGAACAGTATTACTTTCTTTTGCTCTAAAGAAATTAAATGACCCTGGAGCAATGACCTTTCCATTCTGGCATTTAAGAGTTCCTAATTAAGAAAGCCTGAGACATTAGTGGTTTCAGTGGTAGAATTCTCACCCTCCACGCAGGAGATGGCCAGTGTACCTCATGCACAGCCAGCACCTGTCTGTCAGTGGTAGATTGTGTGTTGCTATGATGCTGAACGGTTTTGGTGGATTTTCCAGACTAAGATGCACTAGAAAGAAAGGCTTGGTCATCTGCCTCTGAAAATCAGCCAGTGAAAACCCTATGGATCACAACAGTTCTATTTACAAGCTGATCATGGGGATGGCGCAGGACTGGGCAGTGTTTTGTTCCATTGTGCATGGGGTTGCCATGAGTTGAGGGGGTGAGTGGACGGCAGCTAACAACAATAACAATTGAGAAAGCAAAAAAACCACAACAGCCAATCACTTAATTACCTTAAAGAAAAACACATCAGTCAGCAAACTCCAAACATGCTCACAGAGCCCCTGATGGTCTGCTTACTGCTTTTTTCTAAATATGAATGGATGATTCAGGAAACATCAGACATTTGAGGAATGTTTTCAACATAAAAAAAAAATACAATGAAAAGAAACAAACAAAATCCTAGAAGAAATAGTGTTAATGTTAGAAACAGAAGAAAATTGAAAGTAAAATATGAAGTCTATAATTAACATTTGTAGAGAGATTCGAGAAGATATATATAAAAACATGATGCTGTGTGAAAGAAATAAGCAGAGTCAAAAAATGAGTTCATAGAGATTAAGAGAATATGATAATTAAAATTTAAAGTTTGGTAGGAAAGCTGGAATGTAAAGTTGAAGAAATAATCCTGAATGTAAAACAACACAACAAAGAAGGAATGTATCAGAAAAAAAAATATGTGTGTGTGTGTGAGTGTTTATAGTGGCTCCATGTAGGAGGTTCAATATTTAACTCATTGGAGTTCCAGAAAGAGAACATACGTTGGAGATTTTCAAAGAGATAATAAAAGAATTTCCTAGACCTGAAACATGAACCTCCAGAACCAAAGAACGCAAAGAAAAAGCCCAAAAGTTTCAGCACAGTGTTATAAAAGATACTCAGCTAAATAGATCATTTTGAAATTTCAGAACATCAAGGATAATAAAAATAGATCCAAACACTTCCAGAGAGAGAGGGGAAAAAAAAGAACAACTACGTCATCTACAAAGGAACAAACATCAGATTGACATCAGTCTTCACACAGCCAGCACTGGATGGTAGAATATAATGAACCAGTGTGTCTATAATGTTTTGATGGAAAACTACTTACAATCTAGAATTTTATACCCATATAGATTGTCAGTTAAGTATGAGAGTAGACTAGACATTTCCAGGCATGTAAGAACTTAGAAAATTGACTTGCCCACATATCCTTTCTTATGAAGTTATTAAAGAAAGTGCTCCAGAAAAATTAGGGTGTAATATATTTAATAACAACAACAATAGCAACATGACAGTGGATCCAGAAAACGGTGAATTTTGCCGAGGATAGCAGGGAAGGGAGGCTCCAGGATCACTGCTGGTTAGTGGGTCTGCAGATATGTCAACTACCAGAGGGAACTATCCAGTAAAAATGGAGACTTGAGACTAACCTTGAGAATTTGGAACCTTTAAGTTAATGATAAAAGCAGACAAGTCAAGGAAATAAAAAGGCAGTTAGAAACTCCAGGAAAGTTAAAAATAGTCTGAACAAGAAAGGACACAGTCACAGGAAACTACTTAGATGTGCACTGAATGTTATTTATATTGTTGTCTTAATGTAGACAATGTTTATTGACTTTTAAATTTTAGACAAAGTATAAAAATAATAATAATTACAAAAGAGAAGGGAATATTTGATAGAAGTTGGCAGTTGAAAGAGGAAAGAGGCACTAATATCTTCCCTCTAATTCTTACTTTACAAAATGTCGTGTCACTAGTAGATGAAACCATAAATAAAGTTGTAAGTAAAGTTATAAAATAAATAATATATGAAATAATAATAATGAGGAACTATTGGGAAGGTGGTGTTGGTAATATGAGGAGTTAAATCCTCTATCACAGCAAGGAATCAAGATAATATTTAAAATCGATAAATAAGAAATACTTGTATAAGTTTGTTATCAATAGCTGTTAAAAATACTGAAAGTTAACTCTGGGTAGTTAGACCAGTGTCAGAGAGGATTGACTCTTTCTGTATACTTAATATTTTTAAACTTTGAAGATGAATTGATTTCATTTATATGAATTATATGTTTTTTGATTTTATGTATGCACATATATAAATTTAAAATGGTGTTTGTATGTTGTACTTCTTTAAAAGTTGATTTCTATATATTTAAAATTGTATAGAGTGTTTAGATTTGTAAGAGCAAGCAGTTTTTTTTAAAAATACATCATTTTAAAATACATTTTGTGATGCCTAAAGGAATACGGGACATGTTAGGACTTTTTGATGATAATTAATAAACCTTAGTCAAGGTAGCTTAAAGCACAAAAACGGGCAGTGGGGAGGGATTTATTAGAGAACTGAACCATGGAACAGCAAGTACTGGAACTGGTTTCAGAATTTTCTGGATCTAGAGAATAAAATATCATTTAAATCTCTTCTCTCCCTTTTCCATATTTCCTCTTTTGGCTTCATTCTCTCCGGGCTGTTTGACAGTTCTGGGATCAAGGTTAGCTTTTTAAATAACCAAGCAAAAAGAAACCCCTTCCCCTCACTTCCAGTCCCGAAAATATCTTAGGAAAAACTCTGGCCCAGCTGGTATTATGTATCCAACATTTGGACTGATCACTGTGTTGAGGAGAATAATGGTAAGAATTTTGGCTCAATCTGATGAAAAGCCCACCTTCATGGCTAGGGAAAATAAGGATACTGGATTGGCAGCCCCGCCAGAACCATAGAAATGTTGAAGTGATAAGCAGTTTTCTTAATAAGTGTGTGAGGGGTAATGTGGAAGAGAGCTGGTTAAGTGGACAAAAATAATAGATGCCTACTACAAAGAATAGTTTTATATATTCTTTTACAGGCCACCAAAACAGTTTCAACTTATTCTCTACTGATTTTTGAGGAAAATAAGTATTGAAAGAAATAGATGATTTGTAAGCAAGAAGTATTATCTTTGTTTATTGCCTGATTGGGATTTTATTTTCCTTTTCATCTTTGTAATATTTTTAACTTTAGGGTTGCAATGTCAGGGTGCTTTCAAAAGTACTTTTTTTTTTAATGTCATTTGTTGACTTCTATTTCATTGTTTGCTAGCCTTTTTTACTATTGCTTATGGAAAGACTCATGTGTTACACAGAAGCAAATCTTATTTAAGATAGGCAATGCCAGGCAAAGCAAAATAAGTTGTCTTAGAGACTTTTAAATAATATTCTTAAAGGGAAAACTTTCTGCATTATTTAAATTTACTTTAACAGAAAAGTCAATTCTGTTTTCAATATTATTAAAAAATGGGGAAATAGCAACATAGTGATTCCATTAAAAGAGTAGTACATCTGAAACAGTCTTCTATTTTATTTAAATAAATATTTAAGCCAGAAAATCTTAACGATTATTCCATAATTGTTTGCTTGTTCATTCCATATAGCTCTGTGCTTGGTTCTAAGATAAAGGAAAAAAAAGATAGATAACTTCCTGTTCTCAAAGACCATACAGAGCTAAGAG